CGTCCGAAGCAGCACAACTACACCACTTGTGAAAACTGTAACTTCACGCATCTGAGCACGTCAAAACGTGCGTCGCAATTTACATCTGGTTTGTTGCTATGGCAACTGTCAAATGGACAGAAGATATGGATGTGTTGTTGCGGCAACAGTATGGAAAGTTTGAGGACCTTGACACTACACCATTTCGTAGTCAGTTGCACGCAGAAGTTTCTCGAGTTTTTCCTCAAGGAGGTTATGTTCTTACATAGACCTCTCAAGATGGTCCGTAACGCTACCAAGTTACATCCAGCAAGCGCTACCGTCCCTGAATGCTACTGTTCATTGCTGGACTTATCACAATTCAACCAATCGCATCTCACTCTGTCCACTCATTTGACCTTTAACCTTCCTATTTGGGATAAATCACTCAATGTATCGTACTCAAATATAGGAGTGCTCACACCTCTTTAGATGGAACTTGATAGGGTTAAGGACCATTTTGATGGATCTAAGGAAGCACATGATTTCCTTAAGAAGGAATTTGAAAGCACTGTGGATGCAACCGGCTGAGAAAAGGCATAGTATCCTCAACGCCGATAGTTGGTAAGCTGTCCTCCAGACATTTCAAATGCAATGCCACGCTAACTGATGAATACATGTTACTGATAAATGCACATACAATGCCTCTCCATTCGCTTGAACATTCCGGCCCAGGTGACGGGATTCACTGTACTTGATAGACATCACTGTCAGATAAAATGTCAAATATTATGAGCCTCTCCGGTCTGTGCATATCCATACACCAAATCCCGCGTGCCCAACCACCCAGGAAAGTAACACGCCCCTGTGCCCATACGTAACAATTTTCCCGAAACCACTTGTTCTTAGGTGCATGGTAGTTGTAATAACCAACACTCATTCTGGCACCCACCGTGGCGTACCATTAGTGTGACGGGGTTGAAGACGGAAACAGTTGTTACTAGTCGCAGTCAGTGCGAGGGTGCTTCATCACTGTGAACCCCAATGGCTTGCTGCGCTTTCTTAACTTTAGGACACTAACTTAATGTAGAAAAGTAGATTTACAGTGAACAGAGTCCAGAAAAGATTTCGAAAAGCGCATTGCGTCGCTTCAGTAACACAGCACTAAGCATAATCTCTAGTCGTGAAACCCAAGAAAACAGTCCTAGCGTTTTGACGGCAGTAAAATAGCGATAATATTCTGTGTAATATCCGGTGCCCCACGCTGGGGCTGATGTTACATTCGTGATGCTTCTTCACCGCAGTTGGGCTAAACTAACTCACACTTAAACTAGGTCTTTTTAAGCTGGACAAATTTCATTCAAATTTAGTTGCTTTTTTCTGCCTACCTGAATAATCTTCCATTAATTGGCCACATTGCTTACGCTATTTGTGGCAATCCTCCTTAACTTCATTGCGTTCGTAGCATTTTCTGAATCACATCTGGACATTTGTTTACTTATCTCGGATTCGTTGCTAACCAACGTACTTCATATGCTAATTTAGGGAAGAGTTATGTCTGCATAGCCGCATTCTTTAACAGATATATTCTATTTGTTACTGTTATTTCAAGTGATTGGCTGTTGTTTGACATCCCCGGTGCGGCTGCGCTTGATGTGCATGTGGACAAGGTGCCTACCGGTCTATTACCCACTACTTCGTCCATACTGTCTCTAGAAGATAGTTGGTCGTTGCTGGAGGGGACGGGGTGCACTGCACTTGTGGCCGTACTAGGCTCGAAGAGTGGTTCCATGCACTCAGTGTGGAGCGGACTACGGTCCAGTCAACGCCTTGTGTGCGCTTGGTTTCCCAAATACAGCGTGCTTGTGTTTACCTGTGAAGGAGTGTGGGCCGGTTCCGTTGATGAAACTTGGCTCCCATCCACATGCCTCTCGGTCTTATTCCTTCGGGCTTACATTGGATACGGGGCGTGTGGATGGAGCTGTTGGTGGTGAAGCGCAAGCAACCCATGGTCCCTCTGTACGCGCAGGCGTCCTGTGGCTGGCCACATTGACCAGCCATTCCGAGACCGGATGTCGCCAACCATATATAGCTGCATCGACCACATCTTCTCCTTGTGTCACTTGATGGAGCACCGTCACACATATCAGCGGCCCACCGCAGTCGTGTTCCTCGACATCAATCTTGCCTTCGATTCGGTTGATCGATGTGTCCTTTGGAATTGTCTACTCAGAAAATGTGTGCCCGAGAAATTTGTAAATATTATCCGAGCATTATACGCGCGTAGTACGGGCAGGGTGAGAGCTTACTGCAAGCTGTCGCAACCCTTCAGTATCTCCAGCAGTGTGAGACAAGGATACCCGCTGTCACTTTTCCTCTTCAACTTCGCTATTGACCAAGTCATGGAAATCGCGTTTACAGGACACGACTTTGAAGGTGTGCATCAGCTCCCAGGAGAACGACTTCTTGACTTAGCGTATGCTGATGATATGGCCCTAATCTGTGACAGCTCCATGACGTGCCAAGTCGAGCGGGACAGAGTAGCACTGGCTGTCAGCCGCTTCGGGCTTTGCTTTGCACTATGGAAGTGCAAAGCGTCCCTCCAAGGTTGGTCTGGACCGCCTCCTGCGCTGACCCTTGGTGGGGATCAGCTGGAAGTCGTTCAGAAACTCAATTACCTGGGAAGTTGTATCAGCGCCCTTAGGATCGAAAACGAGATCACGAACCAGATAGCAAAAACTCGAAGTGCTTTCGATGGTCTTCGCCACCTATCGCGGCGCTGCGACATTACTCTCGCCCTGAAGGGTAGAGTGTACAATGCAGCGGTACGTTCCACCTTACTGTACGGTTGTGAAACCTGGCCCCTTAGAGCAGCGGACATGAAGTGGCTACCTACGTTTGACCAACGGTGCCTTCGCAGTTTGGCTCACATCTGGTGGGAACACCGCGTGAGTAACGAGCGTGTTCGACGCCTTGATTACGGCACCGGAAAAGCAAATGAACCGCTCAGCACCGTCATGTTACTCACCAGGCTCCGATGGCTGGGCCACGTGTTGCGCATGCCAGCCCACCGACTTCCACTACGTGCGTTATTTTCCAGCCGGGGATGTGGATGGAAGAAGAGGAGGGGTGGCCAAGCGATGACTTGGTCGAGGGGAATGAAGGCCCTCACTTCTGTGCTGGACTCGGTTGGAGCGTCACGTCTCCCTGTTTGGAGTCCAAAAGACGGTGAACACGTTTGGCTGGAAACACTTGCTGACATGGCAAGGAGCCGATCTCAATGGAGTTCGTGTTGTGAGTTTCTTCGTCCCTCCCCATCCCTTTCAGCCTCCCCCTCCACATACGATCTCATTTCGTAGCATAAAACATAATAATTTTTCTTTAGCCTAGTAGCTGGCTGGTAGCTTACCGGAACTATGCCTATCCGTTGCTGGTAGCTCAGCTGGCATGCAACTTTTGTATTTGTTTACCTTTTTCATTTATGTATGGCGGCGCAGTATCTAAGGTGCTTCTCACCTCTAGCTGACGTGTATAATAAATATATATATATATATGTGTGTGTGGGTGTGTGTAGCACAAGAGCCTCATTGTGAGGTTGATTTTGCATAAAACGTGCTTCTTCGCCGCAGTTGGGCTAAACCAAATTACATTTAGACTCGATCTTCTAACCTGAACAAAATAACTTCCTTTTTGTTTGATGTGCTCAGTTCTGTTATTTTGCTACCACTTCCATGTCAAATTTGCTCATTTACTTTCCTTCGAACTCTGTGCGGCTGCGCTCGCTTTGAATGTTGACAAAGTGCCTGCCTATCTAACACCTTCACCTCGATTGCTGGCTCTAAAAGGTTGCAAATCGTTGCTGGGGGAGGGAGATGCACGGTCCTCATGATCCATGCTTGTCTCAAATTGTGGTTCCATCCAGTGCGGAGAGGACTACGGCCCAGCCACCGCCTTGTGTACCTCCGGTTGTTGTGCATACTGAAGTAGTGTGGGACGGCGTCGTTGATGAAACGTGGCTTCCATCCACATACCTCCCGTTCTTATTCCTTCAGGTTAGCAGTGGATATGTGTGTGTGTGGTGCAGCGCAAGCAACCCCCCCCCCCCCAAGTTCCCTCTGTAGTCACAGGCGTCCTGTGACTATCCTATTGGGGCCACATTGACAGGTAAATCAGGGACCGGATGCCGTCAATCATATATATCGCCTACTGTAGCGATAGGTATAATTGAATCAACAACTGTGTTTCAACTGCCGTCAGAATTGAGCTCGCATGAATTAAAATCATTCACAAATGTGGTGTGCTTATCTTTGCTATTGGTCCCCTCGACCGGCTCTCGGACTTCGATCATGTCAGTTCAAATCGATTATATGGTGTCCATCCAGCCTGTCTAATTACCCGTAAATTACATTGGCGGAGATCGATTAACTCTGGGCCTTTTGGCTTTGTGTTCGCTGAATTCTTCTGTTCAATCCGCCACCGTTACTTTCGGTGGAGCGTCCTACTAACACTTCACCCATAACTTACAAACCATGATTCTTTTTAACGTCTCTAGTATGATGTTATCAGCGACTCTTTTCCTTTCTCTCTGATAAATTATTCAGCTTTCCCACCTACATTGGGTTAGCTGCAGCCCATTTTTCCCATAAACCAGGTTAGAATAATCCCCTTTTTATTTGCCTAAATATTAATGGATCCGACAAGTTAGAAGGTAAGAAATCCATGAGAATATCTGTAGCTCGGGATGAGGATGAGGGTATGCGGGTGTTCTCCGAGCTGGCTGACTTGGCTGCAAACGTTTCATAGAGGGCCTAGACTTTTGTATTTTCCGGTAGACAACCTTATTGTATCCATGCATACAACTGTCTCTGAATTCACTTCATATCACTCTCAGAATTAGGCAACGCTTATATTCAGCCGTTACTAATTAAGTTGGAAGTAACGAATATCATTGCTTAAACAGACCTGGATATTTCATCAGAAAGGGCATTCATTGAATTACTTGTGTACACATTTCACAACATTTAAGCATTGGGTATGATTACCTTTGCGGTCGGCATTTGCCCTTCTCGACTGGCCCTTGACTTTTCTAGTAAGTGTTCAAATCCATTCATCGCATTGTAACTGTGTAATGGATGTAATCTCGGTGGAATAGTAGGTCCTAAATCGAGCAACTCATCAGTTCTTGTTCGTTGAGGAATTACCCCGCTCGTACAATTGCACAGTTCGTCAGCAATCGTCGGATGCCATGGTTGGATCTTGGAACACCGCACCTTTCTGGCTTCTCGGTTTACCGTACCCTCACGTGATACGCGCGATTTGTCCGAGTTCGTGGGAGGAGAATCGATTGCGACGAAAGGGCTGTCTCGTTTGATTGGTTCGTGCGTTCGCATATGCTTCCGGAGCGAACTCGGATCCGTGTAACGCTTTATGCAACCAGGAATTTGGCATGCGTAAGGTTTCTGGGAAATTGGAGGCAAATCTAACGTAGAGTGATTGAGATAACGAACTTTTGCAGCGTTGGCAAAATGCCACGCAGGTTACTACCATGGCAGATGACAGGGGCTAGCCTCCGAAGGCTGACTTCCTCTCACTAGCCGCTAGGCCCATGGCATTTGCAACTAGGGTAGCCTACATATTATATTACTAATAGTAGGAGGAGTTTAATTTTAAAGTAGAAGATAAGTCGTGCTGTATCCAAGTTAGCTTGCAATTTATGTAATGTAGCCGACGTCCCCCATGGCTCAGTGGTTTAAACTGCTGGCTAGTTGGCATCTGCCTCTAGCGGTCATGGGTTCACTCCCCATTAGGAGACCTTGGGAATGCGTACCACTAACGAGCCACAATAAGGCGGAACGCGTCTGGTGCTTTTCCGGACTAGGCTGCGCTATGTAGCTTGTGAACTGTTGGGAGGAAAACTGTAAAAATAAAATCCTCCTACTCATTAGTAACATACGCAATTAAGTTGGTTAAACCGCTCAGGATTAGGTCACGTTGACAAGAAAATGAAGTAACTGTTTTTCAAACTAACAAGAAGGCTGTTTGACTCAGTTACGGACATTCTAATGGTGAATTCTAGTCAGTAAACTGTGATGATAGACGAGAAGGGATGACCATGACAACTAATTGTAAGTAAACTAAGTCGGAAAATTTAAATGCCTGTACGAATGCATAACTTATAAGTGTAAGCACAGCAGTCTGCTGATAAGATTTGTATCAAACACGTCGGCTGTATCTGCTTAGCATAATCATGAAACTACTGTGTACGGGAACAGACATCAACGTCCGGTGTTATCTTACCGATACAGATAAACCAGAATCTATTAAAAATGCAAAAGAAATGTCTCAAAACAAAGTGTAGTGTAAAACGTTTGAAAATGGCGGAAAAGTGAAGCAGTGGCTGCAGAGTGAATGGACGCAAGTATAGCAATAACTACATCACCAAACGTTTTCAGCTGGGGCATTGATCAGTTGATAGTATCACTTCTAAGAGTCTCTCCTGTAGAATACCCGTCAAAACGGCGGACAGGCTTTGTACTCTTTCTCTCCATGGCTCACGTTAAAAGTCCAAAGACTTCCTTTAACCTGATGGCTGGGGAGAATGCGATGTAGATGATACGCGCAGCGTACGGTATTCATTGAAATAGTGGGAAGTGCACGAGGGCCTGGCATCGGTATTGTCAGCCCTTTATGCGTTTAAATAACCCTCAATAGTCTGTAAAGCACTGATGGAGGCTACCTCATTGTGCAAAGAGACGTCTTTTTATTATTTAATGAAGGAACCTGGTAATTGACTTCTGAGCAAATGCGGTTGGTGTCATCAAGGGTGACCAGGTAACTAGCGATGACGGCGTGAAGCTGTACGCCCTCCAACTTTGGGCTAATAACAGACTTGTGTCAAAATGAATATGTTTGGTAGGGTGCCGTTTATAAGGAAATAAGGAGAAATCTTCTGCGTAGCATTTTCTTAAGAATGCATAAAATAGCTCTGAATAAAATCCAAATCGAGTGATGCTTTCGGAAATGTAATATGTAAAACAAGTAACCACGGCGTTATTTACTCTCTGCACCCTTGTCCTCCTCTTGTTAAGATGAACTTGTCTGACCAAATTACTGAAAGTGTTGACGGTGAGGACAACTTACTTCATGATCCAGCTGCAATCTGTGAAGTATCCCGTGACTTTGTTGCCACTTCCCTCAGTCTCGTATCTGACCTAGTGCCTGTGTACACAGAAGCTACATTAACAAAATACTTGAGCGAATGCAACATTCAAACGGAATGGCATCCACCAAGTTCTCAAGTCAATCAGGCCATCCACTAAGCTGGAATCTGATGGAATTTCATCAACCGCCATTAAAGTAGAAGGGCCTGGTGTACCACTAGTTCTGATGACTACGCTTGCTACCTTTGGAATCTACCCACTTTTCATCTCATAATGTTGATTTATAATGCTGCAAAACAAAGGAAGTCCCGAACAAACAATTGTTAACTATGGTCCAATCCACTACACTCCAATAATTTCTCGGTTATTTGCAAAATGGCCTGAACGCGCGTGATGAACTGTCAATATTTTCGGCCTGATAAATAATTTACAGCACTTTTCTTGGCAAGCAATCTTGCACTAACTGCCAATTACATTAGCTGCACTACACTAGAGCAACTATCGATTCCGGCTATGCAGTAATCATTCTGTTTTTGGACCTGCATCAAACGTTCAATCGCGTACCTCACAAGCTGTTGTTACTAAAGTTGGAGACTTTTGGGATTCGGGACGCATTACTAGGTTGGCTATCATTCTACGTGAATGGTAGACACTTTGTCGTCACTCTAAGTGATTATTGCTCTTCTCTATGCCCCATCACTAACGGGTCTGTGGCAGAACTCTGTCCTTCAGGAACAAACGGTCTAATGAACAAAGCATGCTCAGCGAAAATGAAAGCATAACCAGCATTAATAAACGTTGAATTAAATAACATGATCGCTTCCATAACTAACGACGCTTAAGCATTGTTGAGATACTTCTTTTGTTTTAGTTAAACGAACACGATCCAGCGTAGTCAACCAAGAACCAATCAGTGCATAGGCAAATATGCTAGGCGTCCAAGCAGCTGTTCTGTTCCCTTGCGGCAAGCCAGCCGCTTCCTTCGTCATCTAAATCCATATAATTGGGTCATCCAAGAAGACTTGCTCTGTGTTGCCCTCTTTTTGTTCTACACTAGTGACATCACCACATCTGTGTAACATGGTGAGTGTAACAAGCTTCAAGGACCGCTACTGCTCGTTCAAGTTGACTTATATTCGCTTGTATCATGGTGCCACACATAGATGATGAACCACTCAGCTAAGAAATCAAACATCATGTCTTACGGCTGTTCCATCGCGGAAGGTTCTACTGCACTAAACAAGGAACACGTCCTTCTACAGCTGTCCACGCGCTGTCACCGAATTAGGTATTCATGTACATACAGATTCGCCGAACAAACCCAAACCCTAGTTGCGCATGTCAGACGATCTGTGTTTAATATACCCACCAAATCCACCCAACCCAAGCTAGTGTTGAGCTTTGTAATCTACTCACATTCCCCATCATCGAGTGCTATAGAGTACTATACGGTAACATGAGAAGCACTGATAGTGTTGCTGTGGAACACCTGTAGAAGTTGCTTTCTAAACATCTGAAAGGCAAGCAGTCCGCCATGAATTATTGAGAGCGTTACAGCGAAGTTCCATTCTAAACATTTTGAAGGTGACGACTGAAGCAAAACTTGTTGCTGATTTAAAACGCGCTACATACAAAACCATTCCCCTCTGCCTACACTTGAACTGCAAGATAGCTAAACTTGTGCTCTTCAAAACAATGCTTATGCACTAAACAAAACCAAAGGTTAGAATAAGCATGCGGTGAAATTTCTTCCCTGATTATATTTAACTATCTTTGAAGAAATTGTCAACCACACTTAGGTCAAGTGTCAAGATGGTTTAATTTAGTAAAAAACCCACAAGTCATCTTGATTTTGCTATCATAATGAGTACTTACATGAGGAAAAATCTATCAGCGAGCTATTCCAAGTGGGTTCCAAAACATATAAACATCAACATTTTGAAACCTTGACTTTCATCTAAAACATCCATCAGAAGGATAGCACGTGAATTGCAAGCCCCAATTTCGCCCATCTGATTATCGTCCACAAAAAGTATGGTTACTTTTGTGCAAATCTTTCCTTACCGATACAAACACAATTCCTCGGATCAGGAGTAACATACATTTAATTATTAATATTCGTAGTAGTATTAGTGTATATTTCTCGTTCTATCGAGAAACCTTACACAAAAGGGAAAGGATGGTCTTATCATTATTCTCATCACTTATGAGTAGAAGGATTTTGGAGAGTAAATTGCTTTCCTCGCAGCCAGCCGACAACTCAGCTAAGCAAACTCTTTACAGAAAAGCATCGAGAGGGCGTTTCGCCCTATGAGGTTCGTCATTAGTGCGCATGCTTCAGTCGTCTACGGAGGATCGAACCTATGACTGTTAGTGGCTTGAGCCCAATAGCCCGCAACTTGTGCAACTGAACCTTGGGGGACGGTAACCGACCGTTGCATCTCGAAAAAGCTGCAGACCAGAGCAGCACCAGAAGGTATGGATGGAAGAAACTGTCCGCACACACACGCAGTGCAAGTAAATCGATTAAGGTTCGCATTGCAACCAATCACATGCAAGCTCACATGATAGGCCCACAAGTGCTAAGTAGAAGTGAGAGTAGGATAAGCGAATCGAAGGCAAAACAAAGCAATGTATTTGAACACAACATTGTTCCCACATCTGTTCGTAAAAATATAGGCACTACTTGTCCATGAACAATCTGATTTAATGTCAACACCCCGAAGAATTGTCATATGGTGTTATTTGTTAAAGCGTATCGGTAGACAGCTCGATGTATCCGACCGGAACGTGGTAAGTTTTTATTAGTTTCTACCGAGCGTTGTGTTGTACGTTGTTCGTTTGTTCAATACCCCGATGGGGCAGAGCTGTATGCAGCCTTCTTGCATTCACCTTTGTCCTACCAGCCAACTGGTAAGTTCTTAGCGTGCACACCGACTCCACACGAGTTGGCGCTTAGAATACACTACCTCTTTTCCGGGAATTGGGTAGTCTCACACGAACAAATGTTCCTGCAGGATACGTTTTCCCAACGCGTTTATATTTAGCCTGGGTAACAGCTCGTCTTCCGTATTCTCTATGACCGGCGATTTCTTCGAATGCAAAGGCTGCATTTAAGCGAGTTCGAGTTGTTTGCCCTAGCATTATTTCTTAGAGGGTCGTTGACGTTGCAGGATGTGGAGTGGTTCTGTATGCCTTCAATGCAGATACAAACGCATCATCTCAGGAGTCTTCCGAAAGTCGAAGGACTTGTACAGGTTTTTACAAAATACGATTACGTTGTTCGACGAGTCCATCCG